GGGACTGGGCAGTGACAGATGCCCAGATCAGGACCTTAATCTCCCATGCCAAAAGTCCTGGCACTGGGCCCCGGACCCTGGATGTCCCGTTAACACTCGGCCGACCGCAGACAAAAGAGGAGAAATCAACAAATCAATGGGCTTTCAGCCCCACCGGGGGAGGGGAAAGGTGGTGGAGGAAGGGGGGCAGGGGTAAGTGAGTGCTGGGCCGCGCCCGGTCTGCTAGTGGGTATGAAGGGGATGCATGGAGATTATGTTTGGGCTGAGGGGGAAGGAGGCTGTGTGCTGGGTGAGGGCTCTGCTGAGTCCAAGGATTAAGGGGCTGATTCAAACACTCGTTATAGGGGCCAGACACAGAGGTGTGTGTGTGCATGGGTGGATAGATGGATTTTGGAGGTCTAATCTGTCTTGGCCTTGGCCTGGTGCCCTTGTGCGGATTAGACGGGGCCCCCAAGAGCCCCAAGAACAGAGCCACTGGCTAGGATTAGGCAGATTCAAACAGGTGTTTTCTTTTGTGGTGCTGAGGGGGGATCTGTCCATCACTCACTGAACGAGAAAATCATGAAGTGAGCGACTATTACTGATGGGGCGAGTGGTGCCAAAAGGCCATGGCATGTGTGTGTGGGTCAGTGTTTGTTTTTGGACTTTTAGACGCTACTGGCTGTTTAGTGATAAGTGTGTGGTGTCATTTCCATCATAGCTGCAGGAAATTACTTAGTTGAGGGGGGAAGGAGACAAAATATAACTAAAATAGCACCAACCTGTGAGATTATTTACACAGAAGGTGACATGGACATCCTGATGCAGCTGATCAGTTGTTGTGAAGCTGCAGAGATCACTGTGGAGGAGATTAGTGTAGCTGCTGCTGCTGGAAAGCACTAGAGAACACTTTCACACTGGAGGAGGATCAGATCAGAAGAGCTTAGAAGTTCACAGAGCTTGCCACTAACCTCTTTGGCTAAGAATCAGAAATATACACACAACACAGAGAATCATATCTAGTGTTATACTCAGCACTGCATTGTGTGCGGCATAGCTGTGAGGTTATGAAAAATAGATAGAGACAGAGACAGGCTTGCTCTTCCATGTTTTAATACCATAAATACAAATTTGTTAACCATCTTAGTGGAAATTTGACCCTAACCCTAACATCTGAGCAGTCTAACACATTGTAACATTATAAGATGGAACATTAGAGATGACATTATGAAACTGCTAAAATAACAGGGTGGTGTTAAAGAAAAGTAGTATTATGAATAATGATAATGAGGAAAAAACAACTTCTTTCTCTTACAGTTTCTTGTACAAAGTTAAAATTACAATGAGAATGGACCCTTCATATCATATTTCAGCCATTATCATCATATTTCAGCCAGTGCTATAAACCAACACTGGTGAGGGAAGGTGTGTATTTAATGACAGACAGGAGGGAGGAGTGGACTGATGGAGTGAGTGGGAGGAGAGCTAGAAAGGCTCCACTGCTCTCCTGCTGGGTCTTTAATGAAGTGGAGCGACTTCCTGGTTTGTTCCTCCCAGCTGTTGCCCCTACAAAGCCAAGATATTTGGCCTTGGCTCTTTGTCCTAGTCGAGCTACCATACCTCTAAATGACAGAGCGACATGCAACGTGTAAAAATAAAAGCAAGACATCTGGTGTCTCGTTCTTTCCAACTTGGGAATGCAAACATCTCTCCATCTGTTGCCTCCCCTACTACTAGGGTTTGGTGATTGGTGATGATGGTGCTGGCCAAAAATCTAAATGTCATTAAGATTTTGGGGAACCCAAGAGAAGAATAGTGGAGTATTGCATAAATGATGGCCTATACATCATTTTTTGCCTCTCCTTCCCTCTATCTGTTACTATTTATATATATTACATTATTTTAATATATGTTTCATTTAATTTATAACTTTTCAATCATATCATGAATAGAAAAAGATTAATGTCAAAAACAGGACCCACACACTCAAACCCATACCAACCTGTACACGAGCTGAAAATACAAAACAAGAAAGACAACAAGAACAGGGGGAAAGAAGTGATTCAGAATTACTAAATCGGTTACCTTGTCGCACATTGTTCCTCACATCTTTACTATTTATATATTGTATGTATACACAGATGCACACAAACTGACTTGAAATGAGCTTAAAATCTTCCTCCATAAGTCATGTCTGTTCAAGTTTACATTCCTTCTGGAAAAGACTATGCCTAGCTAATGTGTTACAATGGCAACAGCATTTTGCAGGTGTAGAGTCTTAGGTGCTGTCAGTTCAGGGAAAAGGGACGCCAAATAGGCACAGACAGGCTATATTCACACTGCAAGCATTAGCTTTCAATTCTGATTTATTGCTCAGATCTGATTGTTTGGCTGCTCACATTGTTTTTTAAATGTGGCCCATGTCAGGTTCAAATGTGAACAGGTCATGGTCCTAAAGTGGTCTGCATGACAAATGTTGATCTAGAGCAGGGTGCTGACCCCTGATGTCAAAAGAGACAATTTTGGCCTGCAAAACATATTTGAGCTATATAATGCCAATTTCTTGCCTTATGGTATATCATCAGCAGCATTGGTGGTGAAAGCAAAAAAAAAAAATTCCATGCACTATTAAATTCTCTAATTTCCTAAAAAAAACATTTATTTTATTTAGATTTGGAATCCATAGCTAGTCCTGCTATGGAGATACAAGATTAGTAGCAACTGATATTGACTTTTTTCAATATATAGAGGAAAGGTGCCAGATCAGGACATTAAGTGTGACGCACATTTTAATTGTTTTTTAATTAGGTTTGTAATGGCTACATATTTATTTATTCATTTTTTTACAGTTGGAGACTGTAAGAATCATGTTAGGCTTATGACAAAGATCAATGCAAATTAAAATGTAAAAAGATCAATTTGCATACATTGTTTTGTCAAAGCCAGAGGAAGCCACTAGAGGGGGACCAAAGAGCCACATTCGGCTCCAGAGGCGCAGGTTGCTTAGCCCTGATCTAGAGTGATGTAAAAGTTACATTAATTCTGATATGACTGTTCTCACTGAGGTCGCATAGCAAAAAAACAAACCAGTGCCTGAAACCTGTGTCAAAATTAAAATCATCTGCTTCCATGTGATTTGTGCTGTTCAAATTGTCATTAAAAAAATGCACCTGCACTTTCGAACATAGCCATAGTTATTTCTAAAGCTAGTTTTCATGAAACTATGATGAATTATTCAGATTTAAATGCCATGTTAGCTATACAGACTGTGAGGGTGGAAAGGAACCAGCATGTACAAGATTATTACATACACCAAGCAAACCAGGAGGAGGTCTGGGTGTGCTGTATTAGACTTCACAACGAAGATCAGTCTAATTTATGGACTCATCTCTATAACCTCTGCTGCATCGGACGGGTGGCTGCTGGAAGAAACATTTTCAATCTTTTCAAAACAACAAGTGACATTTTCTGGTGTCTACCATGACTGCAACATCTGGCTTGCGGGCTTCTTCTCACCTATGTGAAACTGTCATACAGCTCATAGTGTGAAAAGGGGGGGAAACTACTTGCACTGACAGAAAAAAGCCGGTCTGGGCTCAATGTGTGAAACAGGCTCTTCTCTGTCCTCTTGTAAACCAGGTGGTTCATGTGTTGGTTTTTTCAAGGTCAAACTGAAATGAAGGGAAGAACAAATAAAAATAAGACAAGAGGATAGCAACCAACACTCTCCCTTTGCTCCCTTCTTTTCACTTTGTAGTGGCGAGTGGATTTAATTTCCTCTGTGTGGTTTACACACTGCTGGATATCATGACCACCAGCTTCTGGCTCTTACACCCGCATGTCAACAGACAGCTGAGGTGTTAGATGACCTTTGTCTGTGTGTGAGGTCCTAATGACACCAAAACAGTTGTCTCCATGTGTTTCCCACTTAGGATAATCCTAGGTCCATTTTATTATGTCACTTTCTCTTTATTTCCTGTTATCACCTTAATTTATTCACCACACCTTTTCTCTTCTCATAGCAATTAGATTGGATTTTTGAAGAAGGAATTTGTGTCTTCATTCTTTCTACTTTAACTAAATAATAATAAAATAATAATAATAGTTTTATCTGCCCTTTTGTTGTGTACATGTAGGATTTTAACATAAACACATCATTAGCACACTAATTTAAAGACATTAGCTTAATGTCACTAAATAAATAAGACTGTCACTGATGAGCTTGACTCTTGATAAGATGGCAATTTTGAAACTAACACAACAAATGTTGATTAAAATCTGTCTCAGAAACTTGACTTTGTGTAGTTTTTATAAGTAGATTCATACAACAGCTTCTACCAACTATGACAGTCAGAGCACAAGAGTTTAAAAAGTCTCATGTGCATAAGAACTGCATGCAAGAACATCTTTGGATAAGTATCAGCCACTTGAAAAGCTGCTGTGGTAAAAACAGGTGGACTGTGACGCTTAGTGCTGCTGCATGTGCTTAGGTTTTGCGTAAATTCTCTCACATCATTCACACATATCCTCACAAGCTTCTGTAATATACTGACAGGGTTAAATCCTTCAAATGGCTGTCAAACTGAAACTTCCTGTGAACAGTCAGC